TGGTTTGTTGTCTGCAGGAGAAGCTTTTACAGGACAGTCTCAACGATCAACGTTTATCTGGCATCTGTTCTGAGTTAGACCTCTATGGAGACGATTCAAGGTCGTTTGGTAGTCGGACATCACCAAAGCTACCTGACGATGATTACGGGCTGCACTACATGCCGGGTGACTTGACCATATCAAAGAAAAAGAGGAAGAGAATTCTCAAGGCGCAGACACCTAAAGCTTACGACGGTCTGTCACAAGGTGGTTATTGTGATGGGAGTAATCGGCTCTCATCGCCCGCGAAAAGGCCTACCGCTGGTGCAGCTAGTTCCATCGGAGTTATTCCTACGAAACGCATGCGAACATCAGCAGTAGTTGCTCGACAACGTGCAGCGTCGACTACATTGTCTCCTGGTGCACACAGAGGGAACGCGTCCTCGGCTTCCACGAACTCCCAGCAGGAAGACCTCCTTGGATTTCCTGACAGCCGAGCTAGTGAGGGTGACTCCGTGGGTCCGAGAAAGGGTGGGCTAGGCACAAGCTCTCTCCGGTTCAAGAAGAAGAAGAAGACGAAAGCTTTCCACTCCGACTTCTCAACGGATGCTATATCGAACTCTCATCTTTCAAAAGTACGTACTTGAAGGATTTGTTTCTTCTTACCTGATAGATGTTGTACTTGCAGACTGACGCTGAACTTAATCAGCTTGAACAGGTTCGTTTTTTACCTTCTACTCTTGATTTTTCTGGATTGGTAATCATGTTGAACAAAAATTGCAGGACCAGCTCAAACGCAAAAGTGACCAGTACAGTCCACTGTCATCCGAGCATGGTATGGTTTTCTCTGCCGTGTGTGTGTGGATCTTAACTATTCTTGAGCAGATACACCTGGGACACCAGGGTCACAAGGTGTTGTCAGTATGCATCCTATGAAGAAATTGAAATCTTCAAAGCATTCTCCTGACTTTGCGGAAGCTGGGCCTTCAGCAACCGGTCTCAACCTGACCACTTCGAGTAAAATTATGAGACAAAATAGCGCTCGTGATAGAATACGGCGAAACAAAGCGACCAAGGTATGGGCTTGTACTTTTGTTTATTTTCTATGCTTATTAGTTTCCTAAACAGGGCTTCATTCAGTCGTCAATCAATCCTCCAGGAGTTGGTATTCCCTGGTCAGCTACCGAGGATCAGGTCTAGGATTGTTTTTCAGCCTTTAACAGTTACTAAAAACCTCTTGTTTTCTCAGGCAATTTTGGCACTTGTGCATGATCTTGGTCCGAATTGGGAGCTTGTAAGTGACGTATTGAGCTCCAGCTCCCAGCTAAAGGTACGTAAACATCACTAGTCCTTCGAAGAAACAAACGAAAGCGTTCTTTACAGGGCATTTTCCGGAAACCAAAAGATTGTAAAGACAGACACAAGTCTCTTTTGGACAGATTATCCAATGATAATGGAGACAACGATGAGCCGGGAACATCAATGCCGAAGGTGACCGTGGTCACTCTTTTGCCACATCTCTCACTCGTGCCCGATCTCTTTTCCCAGCAGCAAAGTACGCGTGTCTTCTTGCAACGTTTACAGGGGCCGATGGAAGAAGACACTGTAAAAGTGCACCTTGAGCGGATTGTGAATATTGTGCAGGCTCACCGCTCAAAGCAGCAACAGGTTTTTCCTCACTTGGATACGTACCGGTTTCCTAACGTTTATATTGTAATTTTATTTTTTCTTGCAGAACGACACGTTAGAAAACCAGGAACTTTTACCTGTGCACGCATCTCATTTAAGTACAGCATCTCAATTCAGTCTGTCCGGTGTGCCTCTCAGGTATTATTCTCCAGAAAACATTTCAACTTCGTTCACTAACTTTCGTCTTGCATTTAGTCCTTTGGATCTTTGCGAGCATCCCATGTCAAATGGAGACATCCCTGCGCATGGCTATTCACTGCCTCAGCACCCGGGACTCAACATGCCAGGCGTTATGGCACCTAATGGCATGCGACCAAACTCGGCTGGTCTTCCTTTGCTCCCACATCTGGGTTCTATGGTCTCTCCAGGCTCCGCTGCAATTAACGCGGCTGCTGCACGGTATGTTGCTCTCGATGTTCATACTTATTTTCAGTTGGCCTCTAAACGCTTTAACTGCATTTCAGAGACGCTCAAAGGATGGCTGCTTCGATGCGTCCCTTGTCGGCAGAGGAGCAGAGGCTACGGTACACTCGGATGGTTACGGGACGTAGCTTGCAACCTCAAGCAAACTCCCCTGGTAACTTGCCAATGGCAAGTTTGCCAAATTCAAGTGACTGCTCAATGCCGATGCTACCTTCTGGTAACACAGCAGGCTTGATGGGCTTGAACAGAGGCGGCTTGTCGCTACCGAGGCCAACCATGCCAGGCATGATACCACCAGGGCCTTCACCAGGACTGATGCCTCCCGGTGGAGTTGCTTTGCCCGCGTCAGGTTCCATGATGGCAGGTGGTATACCGAGCCCTGCGAATTTTATGAAACGGGCAAGAGAAGCAACTCAGCTGATCCGGGTAAGAGCTTTCAGTTGACATGACACGCTTAATGCCGCTGCGTCATTCTTATGCTTCTTAAACAGTCGGGCCGCTGCACGGAGGAGCAAAAGCAGCATATTATCCAAGAGCTGCAGCACCAAGCTGCTCAAGGTAATCCTCAGGCAGTTGCTGCTTTGAACACCCTAAGTTCAAACAACATGAACCTTTCCAATCCAATGGTCTCTTCACCAACTCAAAGTTTCGCACCTCAACAGCAGCAACATTTGAGCCCGCAGCAGCAAAGCCAGCAGCAGCAGCACCAGCAGTATTTGGCAGCGGTCCGTTTGGTCAACGAAAGACAACAACAGCAGCAGCAGCAACAGCAGCAGCAGCAAAAAAGAATTTTCCAGCAGCCAAACAACTTGTTGCAGCAGCATCAGCTTGGAATGTTGACACAGCAGCAGCAGCCTTTGCTCCCGTCCCAGCAAGCGCAGCAGCTATCTCCGAGCCACCAGCAGCAGCAGTCGCAGGTGTTGCCAGGAGCGCAACACCCGCAACAGCCAACGCCAACACAAATGGGACAGCTCTCAGGCCAGCAAAAGGTACAGGTACCAACACAAAAGCAGTCATTAACAAAACAACCAAGTTTCCAACAGCAGCAGCTCTTGCAGGTCCAGCAACAATCCAAAGTGGGTAAGAACAACGCGAGCGGCCGGGGTGTCGCAACACACTCAGCTCTGATGCCGGGGAGCCAGCAAACAGCCAACTCTCAGCTGCCAAGCCCGCCAGGAACGGCTCAAGCTGGCCAAGCGCAACAAAGAAGTTTGGCGATGCAGCAAGCCGGGAAGCAAGCCAGCATGAGCCAGCCTGGTAAGGTTTCGGGACAAAGCCAGGGGGGACAACTCACGCAAGGCACCGCTGGACAAACTTCGCAGCAAAAGAGTCTTCAGAAGCAATCGCCGCAGGGAGCATCTCCGGTGCCAGCAGCTCCGTCGACGCCACCTCCGCAGCAGCAAACTACGCCGGCTACTTCAGCTGCTGCACCGCCAGCTTCTCAACAGCCAGCTTCGACAACCACGCAAGCTCAAATCCAACGAAGGCAGCAGCAGCAACAACAACAACAGCAACAACAGCAGCCACAATCACAGCAAGCTCCACAGGCTAGAAAGTCACAGCAAAAACAGGCCAGTGCGCTACAAGCCCCTGGGAAGAACACTACGCAGCCGGGCTTGCAACCGCTGGGTGGCTCAAACTCGGGCAGTGGTCCCATGAGCATTGGAACCAGCAGCTCGGGATTGCCTCCTCAAGCAGCGTTGGCTCCCAGCGCAGCGGGGTCATGGAAACCAGGCCAGAACTTCCCCGGCATGTACAATCTAACGAGGAGCACCAGCGGTGGCGCTAACCAAGGCAGTGCCACGACGAATGGAAACGGTGGAGCGGCACTAAACCAAGTTGGCACAGCAGCGAAGCTCGGTATTGTCCCGGCTGTGAATGGGAGAACTCTGGCACAGCAACAGCAGGGAAGTGGTGCTGCTCAAAGGCCTGTCCAGCAGCAGCAGCAAAGCTTGCCAGTGCCAGTGCCTGTCCCGACGAACACGGTGAATTCTACGAGACCGGCAAGGCCATCCTCGGTGCTTCCCAGCTCGCCATCTTTCCCAGGAACGCCGGTGCCAAGTTTGAGTCATGGTGTACAGGTATGGAGATCGTTGGCTTCTTTTATACTCGATCGCCCATCTTTGTTCTTGCAGCCAAGACAAGTCCATGGCGGAGCACAAAGGCCAACGACGAACGGTTCTAGTAATCCGTCAGTGACCGCAAGTGCCACTGCTGCTCCTCCAAGCGTTGTAACATCCTCGAGCTCCCCACGGTAGCGATCTCTCCAGTGTAATTTTTGCTGCTCCCAGCCCACCCATTGTTTCTTCCTCTTCCTCTCTTCTTTTTTTGCGTTCTTCCTTCGCTTTTCTTCCGAGTCTGATTTGCAGGCTACCCGGCTGACTTTAAACTTGGCTGCTTGATCGCTGCTGTTTTTGTTTTGTTTTTTTTTTTTTTTTTGCGCTGATGGATGAAAAAAAAGAGAGAGAGACACCGACGAGAAGAGGACGACGCTGTTGTTGCTGACGGGTTTGTATTGTATTGACTTTAAACTTCCTTTTGAGCTGAAGGCCAGTGGGATGAGTGTGTATATTTGTTTTGCTTTTTTTTTGGGAGCCCAAGTTCCTGCTAGGATGTATCAGCAGAAATTTGAAAACAAAAACATGAAGATTTTTGCCTTTCAAAAGATATAATAATTATTTACTGACCTTATTCGTCTATACTAGTTCTAAGAAATCGTCATTCTGATGACAGTCACAAGCATTCCGTGTTGAAACTTTCCATCTTATTGCGAATGGCACCGCCCAATTTCTTCTACTCAGGCTCAGGCTCAACAAAACTGGAAGAGATTCACGGATCCAGAACCCATGCAGGTAGTAGATAGATTAAAATTTCTTGAGATTAGTGATTAAACAACTAGCCCAGATAGAATGGAATGCAACAAAGACGATGCTGTCAAGGCAGTCGATCTCGCAGAGAAGAAGTTCATGCTCCACGACTTGGCGGCAGCGAGAGATTTTTGTGTCAAGGCCTTGCAACTCGACCCGGGCCTAGAGCGTGGCAAGCAGATGCTAGCGGTGGTGGAAGTCCACGCTGCCGCCGCCGTTCGTCACCATTCTCTAATAATCTTGCCTAGCGATCTGTTCGGGATTGGTGATCACGACTGGTACGCGATCTTGCGAGTGGATCCCCGCGCGGACGATGCTAGCATCCGGACGCAGTACCGGAAGATGGCACGTTTGCTCCACCCGGACAAGACCAGGATGAATGGAGCGGAGGAGGCTATCAAGCTCGTCAACGAGGCCAAGACGGTTCTCTCGGACAAGAACAAGAAGATGATCTATGACAGCATCAGGAGCTCACTCCCTTCTACTTCTAACGATGTGAGTGCTCCTCCTCCTCGGACACCGCCACCACCGCAGCCACCTCCTTATGGCACTCCAACTTTTGTGGCGCAGTGCCCATTCTGCATGGCGCAGTGGTGGTACTATAAGACGTTTGAAAACTATGTGCTGCTTTGTGCTTGCTGCCTACGGAATTTTATCGTGGTAAACTTTCACCACCTTGCATGGGGTTATCCAGGGAGCGATTCATGGTACCAGAGGCAAGAGGAAGAGGCTACTATGAAGAGGAGGGAGATGGAGTGGGCAGAAACCATGAGGATGGAGAGAGAGAGGGAGGAGGAAAGGAAGAGAGAAGCCAGGATTAAAGAGGCGGAGGATAGTCGGGCAGAATTCCTGAGGATGAAGGAGAGGGAGGAGGAAAGAAGGAGAGAAGCCAGGATTAGACAAGAGAAGGAGGATGAAAGGAGGAGAGAAGCAAGGATTAAGGAGGAACGGAGGAGAGAAGCCAGGATAAATCAAGATCAGGAGGAGGAAAGGAAGAGAGAAGCAAGGATCAAGCATGACCAGGAGGAAAGGAGGAGAGAAGCCAGGATTAAGGAGAGAGAGACCAGGAAGCAATCAGAGATGGATCAGAGGAGCAAGCAGGGAGGGGCCAAGTCTACAAATGGAAATGCAGGGTTGGTGGCGGTGATCGTGGTGCTGCTAGTTCTAGGCAAGGGATTCATCTTGCCCGCAGCACTACTGCTAGCGCTCATTCTGGTAGCGTTCATTCTATCTATCAGGCTCTGAATATATGCGATTAAGTTAGCGATATTATATACTCGTGTTAAGCCAAAACATTTTCCTTTTTAATGTCTCGTGAGAGATCTACTATGCCAAGAAGAAAAGAAAAAAGAAAAAGAAAAAAGAAAAAAAAACAATCGTTACTCACAAGATAATCAATTAACACCTAGCTTGCTAAAAAGAAATTTAATAAATAACTGGCACAAGTGGATGGTGCAAGGGAAAACACAAATCTGACAAGTAGGGTTTGCAGTGGTTTGTGTTGTACAGAGGAATCGATTCATAAACAGTTTCCCTGCTGAAAATCCAATGTGCTACTGGGTGCTGGGAGATTCACTTAGACTTCCTCCATGGAGCTCACCTGATACTAAGAGTGGGTGAAGTCGGATTTTTAATTCTTCCAGATTTCTAGTGAAAAAGAAAACCCTTTAATACCCTTTAGAAAAAGCAAAAAATTTACCAAAAAGGGATTAACCTAGGGATGGCTGTCAAGGCAGTAGAGCTTGCGGAGAAGAAGTTTATGTTCCATGACTTAGCAGCGGCAAGAAGGTTATGTGTCAAGGCCTTGCAACTCGACCCCGGCCTAGAGCGTGGCAAGCAGATGCTAGCGGTGGTGGAAGTCCACGCCGCCGCCGCGGCTCGTCACCATTCTCTTCTCTTGTCGCAGGTCGGGATTGGTGATCACGACTGGTACGCGATCTTGCGAGTGGATCCCCGCGCCGACGATGCCACCATCCGGACGCAGTACAAGAAGATGGCACTGGTTCTCCACCCGGACAAGAACAGGATGAACGGAGCGGAGGAGGCTTTCAAGCTCGTCAATGAGGCCTGGATGCTTCTCTCGGACAAGAACAAGAAGATGATCTATGATAGCATCAGGAGCTCACTCCCTTCTACTTCTAGCGGTGTGAGTCCTCCTCGTCCTCCTCCGCCACCGCCACCGCCACCACCTTACGCCACTCCAACTTTCGTGACGCAGTGCCCATTCTGCAAGATGCAGTGGTGGTGCAATAGGACGCTCGAGAACACTATCCTGCTCTGTTTCCGCTGCCAGTGGACGTTTCTCGGGGTGGATCTTTACCACCTTCCATGGGCTTCCAGAGTAGGAAGAGGAAGGAGGTGGCGGAGGAGTGGTGGGCAGAAACGATGAGGAGATGGAGAGGAAGAGAAGCCAGGAGGAAGAGTTGGGAGGAAAGACGCCAGGATTGAGGAAGTGAGCAGAAATCTGGAAAAGAGAGAAGCCAGGATTAAGCAAGAGGAGGAGGAACAGAGGAAAACCAGGAGAAATCAAGAGGAGGAAAGGCAAGGATTTAAGCATGACAAGAAGCAAAAGGCCAAGTCTATGGAGCGCTGTATTTAAGCTTGGTGGCGGTGATCGTGGCTTGCTAGCGTTCATTCTATAGCGCCGTGGTGAAAGGTAGTGTGCATATAAGCTTTGGTTACATTCTATTATTGCATGGTTACAAGAAAAAATGATAGGAGTGATAGAAAGGATGTTATACTCGGCTTAAATCAGTGAAATGCTTTCTAAGCCCAAAAAATTTCTTTGTTTAATGTGTCGTCCCACTGACATAAATACGGCCTCCTCCAAGACCTTGAAGAGTTTTCTTGAAGGCTTGCTGCTAATGTATAACATCTGAGAAAAAAAGAGCACGAAAATCCATCCATGAGAAAGAAAAAAAAATTCCCACTGCTGCTTACCATTCGAGCGCTTGAAAATTGTCTTAACTCCCTGCAGAATAGAATCCTGTAACTTAGAAACGTAAAAGAAAAACAGTGTTGCAAAGAACCTCCTCTCGTCCCCCTCCTCCAAGAGATCCACTCCTCTATCATCTGTTAACGAAGATCAAATGCGATGGCGTCGCGGCAGTGTCGAGCTCCCAGCAGCTGTGCGGAGCATTGAGCTTCTCAGTCCCGATCATCCAGTGCGCCGGCACCTTGTGCGAGAACCTCAGCAAGTCCTTGCTGCGAAAGCTCCGCAAGCTCCCGGCCCCTCTGGCAAAGATGGTCTTGTATCCCTCCACCTTGATCAGCGACACCGCCGTCAACCCCGCCGCCTCCACATACGAGCTCACCACCTCCACCATATCATACGAAACTTTGTCCGGCCGAAGCTTCAAACTCCAATCCTTGTACACGGCCCAGATCTCTCCCTGCTTTGGATACACGCTCACGACATTGGCATGAATCCTGTCCACTTGCATCAGGTGCGAGAACTTGTTGAAGTGAGCCTCCGTCTCGGTCTTCCTCTTGCACTTGAACTGGCCGCAAGTCACCGTGAACCCGGCCGCCTCCCACTCGTCCGCCTCGTCCGAGATCACGTAGCGCTCCAGCCAGCGCAACCGGACTTTGAACGGGTTGAGCGAGACCAGCTGCTTGATCTCGCAGTAGAAGCGCGGCATGCCGTCCGTGTCGTCGTACAGAGCCCACACTTGTCCCTCGCGGACGTAGCTCTCCTTCCTGTCCGTGTCGAAGTTGTAGAAGTCGGGGTCCGGGACGAGGAAGTGAGATTCCTCCTCGACATTGTCGTCCTCGGGGGATGCCGGCTCAAAGTCCGGTTCCTGCGCCTCCATCGTCTTTGCTGGAGTTCGGTGCGCGTCCTCGTGCTGCTGCTGCTGTAGCTCCGGATTTATCTGCCGTGGTTCTTCGTGGAGTTGCCGCTCTTGAACTGGTTTCTTGTCCTCCTCGGTCGAGACTTTTACTTGCAAGCTTGGATTGCTTCCGGCAGCACAAGGCTCAGCTTGTTTCGGCAGTAAGTTCTTCTTACTGCTCGTGAAGTCCTTCGCTGGCAAGACGCTCTCGGTAACTGAGACGTTGTTCTCGGATTTTTCGCACGGCCGGAGATGTGGCGAGGTCTTGGCGGCAACATTTGCATTCTCGGGAGGTTTCTTCGTCGGTATACTCTCCGTAGAAGGGATGCTTTGTGGCACCACACAAGGCTCCGCTGCTTTTGAGGTTGCCTTCGCACTTTCTGGTGCTAAGCTGCTCTTAACTGCGACCTCCCTGATCACTCTCAGCGCTTCCAAAACGTGTTGCCTTCCTTTTACGGCCAGCTCCTGCCGGAGCAGTACTTGGTCCGGAGAGAGCTTCGCCTCTTCCATCCTGGCTCTCTTACTCGGGTGCCCGTCACCATCTTCGTCATCATAGTCGTCGTCTCTATACGTGACATTCTTCCTGGCTCTGTTAGATCTCCGCAAGCCGAACCTCAGGATCTCAGGAGGTACACTCTCCTCAGCGATTCTAGCCTCGTCGCTTTCCTCATCTTCGTCGTCATCGTCGTCATCATCGTCCTCTTCCTCCACCCTACTCTTCTTAAGTTTCTTTCTAAGGGCCTCCATATTCTTCTTCCTCGCCTCTTTCTCCTCTTTCTCCCTCAGCTTCGTCAGCTGCTTCTCGAGCAACTCTCTTCGCCGGTCCTCCTCTTTAGCCTTCTTCAACGCCTCCTTGAGCCTCCTCTTCTCTTCTCGCTCCCTCTCCCTCTCCGCCTTCTTTCTCTCCTCCTCTCGCCTCTTTTCCTCTCGCTCCCTGGCCCTTTGCTGCATCTGCTGGAAAGCACTGCTCTCTCCGTTAACTCCATTGGCCCCATTGGTGGTCTTCTTCTTCGCTGCCTTCGCAGGCCACGTCGACGTTTCCACCGGAGGAGTTCCGATATCAGTGGCGATGAACCCCGTTTGGCAGCGGTGACAAAGCAGCTGGTAGTTCTCAAACTTCCTGTAGTACTGGTACTGAATCTTGCAGTTCGGGCACTGCGTCCAAAAAGTTTGCTGGGTATTCGCACTAGGAGGCGGAGGAGGCGGTGGCGGCGACGGCGGAGGATCTGGAGCAGTTGCAGGAGCGGTCGTCGCAGGAGCCTCTGGCTGAGTTGAGCAAGAAGGCTGTTCAGTAGCATATCTTCCATTCTCCGGCTTCTTTATTCGAGTGCTCCTCTTCACGTCATACATGATCTTCTTGTTCTTGTCCGAGAGAACCATCCAGGCCTCGTTGATAATCTTGAAAGCCGGCTCCGCTCCGACCACCCTATTCTTGTCCGGATGGAGCATAAGTGCCATCTTCCGGTACTGCTTCCTGATGGTCGCCTCGTCCGCACAGGGATCCACTTGCAAGACCGCGTACCAGTCCTCGAGCCCGATGTGAGAGTGATGAGCAGCGGCATGGACTTCCACCACTGCGAGCATCTGCTTGGCACGCTCCAGGCTCGGGTAGAGCTGCAAGGCCTTGTTGCAAAACTTCCTCGCGGCGACGAAGTCCTGCTGCATATACTTCTTCTCGGCGAGTTCGGCTGCCTTGAGAGCATCATCTTTGTTACACTCCATACCACCACTGTTCACTGTTCCCTCTAAGAAAACTAGATCTATCTACGCGAACTTACTGGATTAGAATGGCTCTTCTAAACAGCAGCCCCGAGCACCAGAGAGTTTCCATGAACTTCCCAGCTTCCTTAAATCCTGAGAAAAGAAAAGAGAAAGTAAGACCTCTGCTAAGAACAAAGCAAAGAAAACCAAACGACAAAGTGTCATGGATGATATATAGGTATGTGACTGGAGTGTAAAATAACGAACACATCCATGACGCAAGTAAGCCCTAGAGAGATAGCAACAAACCAAAACCATCAAAAACCCACCTCGAGCTGTCGCGAATTCCCCAAAACCCTCGAATCCTGGAGTGGAATCGAGCAGCGCGGTGGCGCCGAGCGAGACGAGCGAGGGAAATCCAGGAACCCTAGCGTAGCGCCCGCCCGCTGTTAAAACCCTAGAAGCGCCGCGGAGGAGGAAGCTCGCCGGGGCGGGGAATGGAGGCGGGGATCCGCGATGGCGATGGATCGAATGGGACCAGGGCAGCAGGCGGCCACAATGCAGGGGGATGGAGAGAAAGAGAGAGAGAGCACGGCGATGGCGCCCTCTTGCGCCAATGGAAAACAACACTACTTTTTTCTAGCAGCTTTGCGAACTTACCCACGGTGTGAACGCATTAAAAGGGATTTTATTAAAAATTGTATAACATTAATTGTTTTTTGGGGGAAAAAGGTTGTTTAAAATAGCGAATTTTAAAAACTTGTGAACGTTTTGAATTGTTGGGGCGCCAAATCTCAAAGGAGGCATCATGTTCTTTAATTTATTTATTATAGATAATATTATTTTTATAAAAAGTTAAAATTCAAAAATTGGCCAATTTTATTATTGCATATACAATTGGTTGATTCCAAAGAATATTTATAAGTTAAATAACTTTTAGAATATTAGATTATGATGCTCACTCCCTTTCTTTGGAGACATGAAATTGAGTATTTTAATCAATTAGTATAATTAAATTATCTTCTAATATGTGTGTTTAGTAATGTTGCATCAATGACAAGTTTGGAAATCCTAGAAAAGTGGGAAAAT